GAAGGAGTAGTGTCCGTATTAGACACATTATCTGCTGCATGTCGGGTTTTCACCATCGGTTCAGAGAGTGTGCAATTGAATAGGCAAGGTCGTTTCTGCTTAAACAATTGCTGTTGATCAAAGTTATCACTATTAATAATTGTATCAGAGTGTGAAAATGAAACCTCATTGCCAGGTGTTAAATATGTTGGATGATGATAATGATGATGATCCTTCTTTTCATTTTCGTTTTTTTGTTGTTGTCGATGATTCTGCATCGATTCCTTCTGTTGATCGTATTTCTGAACCATTGAAAAGACCGCTTGCGGTAACGGTGGTAGTGGCATATTTTCGGCTGCCGCTGCATTTCTCGCGTGTTCCATTAGATGTTCCGTCAAATTTGCATAGTGCATCGCCGCTTCATGCGCTATTTTGGCCTGTTGTTCAAATGATAGCAAATACTTGTACGACGGCTGATCGCTTAATAAAGGTGGTGGAATAAAAGATGATGTTGACGGTCCTGAATTATTGGCTGTAGCAATTGGAAGTAATGATGTGGGTCCGGTTGCCGAAGCAGTTGGAGTGATAGGAGCTACGCTGATCATAGTAGGAGGAATTGATGATGGATTTATCGTGCTGGATCGTTGTGGTGCTGGAAATGATTGTAGGAACCGATCAAATGCTGTCCCATTCGTATTCATACTCATTGAGTTATGTTGCCGAAGCGGATTTGGTAAAATTGCTGAGGTGGGATGAAGTCGAGGATCGTTATTAATGATATTGGCGTAAGGTGAAACGTTTGGTTGCAAAAGTGATGGATTGAATCGATCGGTTGAAAACAAAAAATTTCGATTGTCATTATTATTAGATGCGCAATTGCTCGTATTATTAATAAATGCAAAAGGACCACGGTTGTTAAGGATATTGAAAGTTGATGGAACAGAGTTGCTAACTGGTACAAATGCAGTTGTTGAGCAAATAGCAGTTGGGTCCGGAGTACAAAATGAACTCGAATTTCGCTCTTCTTTGTTCGGAGTTGTTCTTGAAATATGTCGTCGTGACATCTTTTCCTACCCAAAAATTAGCTCTGTGATTATATGAAGTGGAAATTTTTGGGAAAAAGTTGGTCGAAAAGCTGAATATTCTGAAGTGCAGCTCGGAATATCTCAACCGGGATTTTTCTTCGAAACCTCTTCGAAAATAGGATATACACCGGACAAAAATGAAGCAACTGCAGTTATTTGTGGAAAATGGCAGCAGCTAAGAGCACGGGTCGCTGCAAGTCATTGCACTGAACGATAAGAGGTGAGGTGATCTATCGAGGTGGCGGGGTTAGGTCGTGACGTAATATGATGTGATGGTGAACTTGACCTGAGGGTAGTAGGTAAATTATGAAAAAAATACCTGTAAACAACATAGATGCAGAGGGCATCCATTGCTAATATTCTCCAATATGAGGGACAAATGAACGATGGATATGTCCGAGGGAAAAGCAAATTTCCTTTTATTGAAAACAATTGTTCTTTGGATTGAAATATTTAAGGTATTGCACAAGTTGAACGAGTTCAAAAGTCAACTTGTCAATGTGTTAATTTTTAGAATATGTTGGCTTATGTTCATTCGGTTTGTTTTTCGTAGGTAAGTCTGTTTCTTAAGTAGCCACCACAAAAACCATTGAAAAACTTTTATTCATCAATTTAATGGATACTTATTCAAACTATACAAAAATATATTTTCAACAGATTATCTTCTAACGAAAAAAGATCTTTAGAGAAAACGGACAATATTTCAGTCAAGATGGAGAGAGAGGGAGAGGGAGAGTAAATTTCAGGTAGCTCAGAAGAGAGAACAGAAGCATCGGGTAGGAAGTGTTAGCTGACGCAACAATTATTATTTCTATTCTCTCTGAGTTGCACTGACTTTGCTTACCGTATTGCTGTGCAATAGTGGTGCAATGACCACTGGACAAATTTGACCTGATGTCCGACCATCTAACTAACTATAACGCCTTACCTCTCATTACAAGCAAATCCTCAACATCACACAAAAAATTGTTCAATGCCTTTCTTGATTCTTTTCTCTCTTTCTCTCTCTCTCTCCCCCATATTTTTCACAATGTTTAAATGTAGAAATTTTTTAAATACATGAATACAACACGATCTCGAGATTCACGGTAAACAATAGCAAACATTATCACTACCACTACCCAATATGCATATTCGATGGTTGAAATTGCAAAATGACAAGGTAACAATTCGCTCTTGAACAATATGATTTCTACTCCATGTTATTCCGATTTTAACTTCTTCTTTCTTGAAGTAAATTTTTGAGCCTAATTTCAAAATTCCACAAATAATTGCAGTGCTTCTTATTTCCTCTCTTCAGATCAGTGTGTTTGATATGTAAGCGAAAGAGATGTATGAGACAAATGTTGTTTACAGCTTAGGTCACAATGACGTCACCTCACTGTCATGTCATCAACAGGTAGACTTCCCGCCGATTCCATTCACATCTGCTTCTAAATAATTTGATAGTGAAAAAGATCTGCTAAGGTGAAGAGGAGAGTATGATGTCTTGTATTATAATGATGGTAAGGTACAAATGAACCTATGCAAAAGTGTATCGGAATGTGACATAAGTATTTAACGTTCTCGACCTATCCACTTTACCCTACATTCATTCCATCACACTTCTCACCTCACCAATTCCTTAATTTATCAGACATGAAAATTCCATAAGGATAAAATTTATTTTAGGAACATTTTGATCGATAAACATTTTACTACTTACTACTTCATCTGCATATCTATGCTTCAGATAAAGGAAAGTATCATTAACTGTCTCAGTCCTGCTAAATCGATAACAAAGTATCATTAACTGTCTCACAGTCCTGCTAAATCAATAATTATTTCTCTGTGAATCCTTCCAGTGCTTCTTTTAACTTTTTTCTCCAGCAAAAGAGTATACAAAAGACAAACAACTTCAGAGGGATAGTATAACGCAAGAATTCATTAATGAGTGAAAAAACAAACTTCTTCCTTTTTCGATGTTTTTTGAACTACAACTTAAAATATTAACTGTCTCAGTCCTGCTAAATCAATAATCATTTCTCTGTGAATCGCCTGATCCTTCCAGTGCTTCTCTTAACTTTTATACAAAAGACAAATAACTTCAAAGGACTAGTATAACGCAAGAATTGGAAGTATAAAACAAAAACAAACTGTTTCCTTTTTCGGCATTACACAAGTATTAATTTATACTGGCAACGCATCGATAATTTCGTAGAGGTTTTACTTACAAAAAACGGAAGAATAAACTAGAATTTGAATGATCAGAATTGAATAAGCGTGCGACGGTAAGCGAATTTGAAGTTTGCTGATACCCGGCTCATTCATTGGTTGTAAAACATTGCAAGCGTTGTAACAAGGCATATTTTATGAGTAAAAGAACTGATAACCTTTCAAATAACCAAATCCAAAATCAGCCGTCAAATTGGTAAACCAACAATTCAGTTGAGGGCAACACATATTTTTTGTTAACAAACTGTAACTGGCAACGTATCGCTAAAAAAATCACTAAACGATGCAAATAAGCTCAGCTAGAATTTGAAGATGAGTATTGGATGGAATCCTTATTTACGAAGACATAAAACTGAAAAGTTTATCTAAGGAATTTTTAAAATACGAAAATCTTTAAACTTATTGATCTATGCAAATTTATTTCTAAATATTACCAGTTTTCCCGACATAAATAACATTTAGACGACCATCAATACATACTGCAATTATGCCAAATGTTACATTTATTCCAACCATTACTCAACATAACTACGAATTACTAATGTCTTAAATCTGTTATCGTACGCATTTAGCATATACACCTCCCTAGAAGCCCTTGAATCCAATTCACAATGTCCAATCCACGAGAAAACGACACATCAAACATCACGTGGTGGGGTCAGCCGGTCCAGCGCACATTCCGTCGTACGTTATGCCACTACGGCAAAATCCGGATCATCATACCCACACTACGAACTACGAAGGATCGTCGAGCTTCGACTCACCTTCTTTCATTTCCATCAACTATGTTTCTTGCATACAGCTGTGAGTGAGACGTGCAAGAGAGCAAAAAACACACACACCCTCTCTCTTGCGCTTTCGTTATGTCATGCAACATCACCAATCTAACCGATACTCGAAGGTCAAAAATCATGGTTAACACTGGTAATAAATATATATGAGTAGGTTCAAGGAGATCGACACTAGGATCAGTTATGAACTATTGTTATGCTTTGAACTTTGACCTTGCCCGAATTTACACTGTTTTGTTGCACTTCTATTTGGGAAGGAAATGGCATTAGGTCATCATCGGTAGATGAGTAACAACTTGCATAAATAGACGGTAAAATTCTTGCATGAAGTGACATATGAAGAGAAATTTTGCTTAAATTTGCAGTATCACGGAAATTTTCTAATTAAAACAATCCCTTTCAATGTAACTTTTTATTTTCAAAAACAATATTTACAGGGGAAATAGTAATAATGTAAACGAAAAGCGCAAAGAATTGACGGAAATTTCGCCAATTCAGAGCGGGTAAAGTATTGCAGATACTGAAATTTGAACTACAATGGCCTAAGCGGTGAAAAATACCTGATACCATGACTCACCTAAAAATTACTAACAGTCAAATTGGCCGAATTTTATGGCAAGCAAATGACATATTGAAGATGCGTGGAATTGTTTCTCGGCCAAATAACAACTCGGAATCAAATCAGAAGTTGACTTTGTTGACTTCCAATCTCTAATTCCAAGTAAAAAGCACAGAAGGATATGATAAGGCGAGTATTAGTATTGAAATATAAAACTGAAGTTCAAAACATCGAAAAAATCCTTCACTGGAGATTTGACGCCAACTATTTACTACGGCTCGAAATATCGGTGATAAGTTTAATGTGACTCCAATTATTTGATTCAGTAAACAAAAGCATAACAATTCATTAGCCATACCGATTCGATATTTCCTACTTTTTCGGTGTCTTATATATCGGTGGAAGATTAAACCCTTTTAAGCGTCTTCTTGTTTCTTTGTCGGCCGATCTCAATGGCGACGAAGTTTTTGGACCAATCTGGAAATTTTTGTTCTTTGAAACATCTTCTAATTTAATTTGAATAAAAAGGGAAATATCTGTCTTGTTGCCTGCAAACCCCTGGAAGTAATGAGATCGAACAGTTACACATTCCAAACCGGCTGAGCAGAACATTAAAAAAAAATTTTTAAAAAATTGAAAAGTAAGAAAAGAAATATTACCGTTGGTGGCCGTACGGGTGTGATCACCGAGTGAAGGCTTGCTGTACTTGCTGAGACAGATTTCATGTGTGATAATAGTGTGTCTGGAGCCTAAATAAATAAAAGAAATTATGAATATATCCTAAAATGATAATATGGCCTCGTCACAGTAACTATAGGAAAAAAAAAGAGAAAATGCATATTATTCATATATTTTTACGGAAAATATTGAACAAAATCAAAAAGTGAATGTACTAAAAAAAAAAAAGGAGAATATACTAAAACTAAACAAACCTTTGATGTTGTTTGATCAAATCGTGTAAGTGGCTTTACTTTCGCTACTTTAGCTGAAGAGCAAGGAGTAACAAAGGTTGGCGGAGCACCACGCTTCTTTGGAGTAACTATATTTGATATATTCGATACGCTGCCCGTGAATACCTCCACTTGTTTCTATAACATGAAATGATATTTTGTATTGTAATTACAGATACAAAGAAGAGACAGACGTGTTTCAAATACTCATTAAATTTATCAATTAAATTAGTCACTGGTTGATAATTCAAAAACTATCTTTTTGTACATAATCTTAAATAAAGCAACTAAGATTAAAACAATTTTTTCCTAACATAAACATTCATACAATCAAACAAAAGCACGAACTTTTCGTTTACGTTCAAGCTCCCTATTTATTCGATATTCTTCCATGATGGATTCGATATGTTCGCAAGGTGATAAGCCGTCCATTAAAATTTGATTATCATGAGTTGACTCATACTTTTCCACCTCTTCTTTCAATTCGTTTTGTATGATTGGAAGTCGATGCGCAATAAATTTCTGTCGCTAAATTCAGAGAATGTGAAACTGGCGAGTATAAATCAGAAATATTGAAAAAGAATAATAAGCAAAGACGTATATGTTAAATATTTTGATAAACTAACTCGAATCTAACATTCTGACGGAAATTCTGTCAATTCCGAGATGAATACCAAAACTCATTTATAAATCATTAGCAGCTGACTTGGCAAATTTTCTGATAAGTGCGAACCAATCAGAGGACATATTGACGATTCTTTCCGACTCGGAATCAAATCAAATCTTTTCACTCTGTGAAATCTTCCACAACGGATGGAATATTCATAACCATCCGTTGCAGACGATAATGGCACTTTTTAAAACTCTCACTATTTCAGCGTCGAAGAACCAATAACAACAGATGAGTGACGTTTCAGGAAGATTTTGAAAACATTACAAACTTCCTCGACTTATTTATTTCATTCATTTAAACATAAAACTTGAAGTAATTCATGTCGTGAAAGGTTTGTCTGGTTGATATTCGAATAGTTGCAATACAGTAGGAAGATTAATAAACCTTTATTTTCCGAAAACGTATTATTAATAAACTGAGCAATAAAAAAAGAGAATTTATAACAAAAAAGAAGACTGGAGAAATTGCGATTGGTTAACAGAATCGTAGTCGACAATAATGACAATGAATCGTTTTGTTTATTAGAATTGAATTTATATGAGTGAGGATTGGGCGTGTCTAAGATAAAATCACATTTGTGAAGAATTTAAAGTGTTTACAAAGAAGATATTAAAATGAAAGCTAATTTCTAATTTGCATAAAATTTCATGTGTGAAGAATTAGAGGTGTTTACAAAAAGGAGATTAAAATGACATGTATGAAGACTGTAAGATTGTTTACAATTTAAAAAAGAGAGATGATTTATGATATTATGAAATTGGTTAGAAGTTTTCGCGAAATTATAATTCGCGACACTCCCAAAGGGGGAGAGAAATTGTTTTAAAATGTAATTTTGAGAGAGTCATTTTGAGGTATATAGCTAAATGTATGGAGTTTAATGGGTGGGATTTCTTTCTTAGTTAGGAATTGAGTATGTGGTGATTCTATAGGGAGAGTAATGATAGTAGCTTGATTTGAACTTCGTTTTGGAGTATTACAAAAGAAGGATTGAACTAATTTAAATTTCTATTTAAGAATAATTAAAATAGTTAATATTGTCACGATAATTGTGCAGATAAAAATCAATGTGTTATCACGTCTTCAAATTCTTCTTCTATCGGCAGAACAATTTCGTTAAATTCCCTTTTCATTTGTTCAATAATTTTTTCTCCTTCTTCAGAAATTTCTTGCCAAAAGAATTCATCTTTCATTTGATGTGATATTGAACTTATTGTTTCGTGGATTTGAGTCAGGATTTCTAATTCTGCGTTAATTCTTTCAATTTCAAACTCACTTATTAAATCTCCTTTGAATTCGATATTTTCGATTGTTGTCGTTCTGATTTGCAAGGAGTCACCATCAAATTTCCGTTAATTCTTTTAGCTATCACATCGTTTCTTTGAAATATCAGTTTCGCAGCAAGGGTAGGATTGCTGATTGATAACCATTTGATCAAAAGTAATAAGTTATTTCTGTTTTGGCAACTTCTTTGCTGCGTTTCTTTGAGTTGTTGGATGAATTCTTGTCTTAGTGAATCGAAAAGTTTTCAAGATCGAACTTTTTGTCCGGAGATTTTTCCATCATCAATAGTTTGTTTATTACTCTTCGTTTGAATTTTGTAGTAGAGTTCGAGTCATCTTCAACGTTTACTTCAATAATTATATCACCTTGCATTAAAAGTGGAGAGGTGAATCTACAATTTTTGGTATTTAATATATGGGGGTTTTCATCAATTATAAGCGATGCTTGTATCTCTTCGATGATGAAGTGTTTGTTATACTTTGTAGCATTGAATCTTCCGATCTTTTCGATACAAACATGATTGGTTGTATCATTGCTATTCCATATGATAATGCTAGTATTTGTTATGCATTCACCCTTTTGTGTCAAACAATCTTTTATATCATCGAGGTTAGAGAAACTCTCTTCCATCGTATAGGAGAATTTCTCCTTGGGTTAATATGAAGTTTGATGTTGATTGACAGTTGACTCCTATCCATCCATAGGAGTATTGTATTTCCTTATTTGTTATCCATTGATTAGGAGAAGATTGAATTAGTCTAATTCCATTCATTTGTTTTCGAACATTTAAATATCTGCAGAATTGTGAGGAAGTTGCAGTAGTAGACGTATGGTCTGATACTACTGATAGTGATATTCTAAGAAAAGCTTTAGTACATACCGTCCGTGTAATGTTACTACATTTTATAGCTGGTATTCTTACATGGGTGCGTGTACACATCCACTTTGTGATATGTAGCATTTTTGTTAATAATTTCTTCACAATTCTATTTTTTAGGAATATTAAAGGGTACTCCAGAAAACCAATTACAGCTGTTGTTAGCTAATACCTGTCTTGGTATTAACGACATCATTGTTATCAATGATAAAGTTTTTATCAAAAGATAAGACTTATCTTCTGCATCGACAGTAGTGATTTTTTTTTTTAGTACTTCTGGTTCATTGAGCAATGGGTTCTTCCGGTTCATCGTCCACATTTTCTTCTCTATCTTTAGTAGCATCTATTTCCATATGATAAAGCATATTGATTGATCGATCAATTTGTTTTCCATTTGGTAATTGTATTGTTGCTCTTCTTATTTTTCCATCCCTTGCTAATTTCCATACACCACGAGGTACTTTTGGTTCATTTAATAATACTATCTCATTTTCATGTAGTATTCTTTTCTCCACTATTCTAGGTGATGTTAATTCTCTTTGTGTACGTTCTCTAAGACTTATAAGGTATTCTTCTTTCCACAACTTCCAAAAGACATCTAATGTGGAAAGAGTGCTGGTCCAATACTTGACTGGTTTATCTTTAGTCTTTATTGTATAAGAAGTATATTCGTCTTGATCACTATCGTAATTTATTGGTAGATCTAATGAGGCCATAGGTGATATAAAATCAATTGGGCGAATGATTCCGTAGTCGCCAAAGCCTACATAAGTTAATGGACGAGTATTAAGGATTCCTTCTATCTCAACTATTAATGTTATTAATTCTCCTTTCTTTAAAAGTTTTCTTTCTATTACTCTTCTTAATGCAAGTGAGTCCTATAAGTCTTTCATATACACCACCACCCATGGTGCTCTTGGTATATTATTTTTCCATACCATACCCTTTGTCGCCAAAAAATTAGCGTTTTCTTCCATAATGGTTTTGAATATCAGTTGAAATTGGTTTGCATTATCGCTTAATATTAATTTTGGATATTCACGTCGAGCGATAAATCTTCTCAAAACATGTAAAAAATTCTCGGCAGATAAATTTCCTGCCATTTCTAGATGCACCGCTCTAGTAGTGAAGGACATAAAAAGTGCTATCCATCTTTTGACTAGACCAGTAATAGATTTGACTGAAAGAGGACCCATATAATCTAAACCGACTTGTTCGAAGGTTCTGGATCGTTTTACTCGTGTTTCTGGTAAACTTGGCATCGCTGGCAGTTTGAACGGTTTAGCTTTGTATGCAATAACAGCATAAGTTTATGATTCGTTTTACTGCAGCTCTTCCTTTCGGTATCCAAAATTTCCGTCTTAATTTAGATAACGTATGTGCGATTCCTTCGTGATATAATTCATTATGCTTGTGTAAAATAATAAGATCGGTGATTTGGTAAATATAAAGGATATTTGCTTTCGTCCGTTAATTCTGAATTTTCCAGTCGGCTCCTTAACTTCCATAAGTTATCACCTTCATCTTGATATAGATTCCATTTTTCCTTGTCGTCCTCTGTTAACATTTGTGATTGAGCTTGTTTGATCAGCATGTTTTCCGCTATGTCGTAATCAATTTTAGTCATATATCTCTTTTTTACAGATAATGGTTTTGGTCACACTAATTTTCTTTTGCAGGTTTGTTTGATAAATCGAAGAGTCCAAGCAGTTACTCGAATTAGTTTTGTCCAACTGCTGAAGCGACATTCGTCAATAAATTGTACCCTTTTTAAAAGTTTGAGTTATCTTTGTCAAGTTCAAAACACTAGCTTCTGCAAATTCATCGTTTCCTGAACAATGAAGTTTACACTTTGGCCATTCAGATTTCTTGAGTTCCAACATCGAGGTTTCCACCATTGTTTACAGTATTGGAGTTTAAGTGGTGATACTCCTTTGGGGGCTATATCTGCTGGATTTTGATCACTTGGTATGTATTTTAATTCGAAGTTAGATTTCCTTATTTCTTCGATGCGATTTTGTACAAATTTGGGAAGCAGCTTTGTATAATTCTGGATCCAGTAAAGAACACATTTTGAATCTGTCCACAAAGTAACTTGATTATTTTCAAGATTTAATTGTTTCAGTACGAATTACTTGCTCTTACTCAATTAGTACTGATAATAGTTTAAGTCTAGGAATTGACATACCTTTAATTGGAGCAATTCGAGATTTAGCATAAATCAAGAATGAATTCGAATATGTGTTTTGATATTCATGATTGAGAATATAAACAGCTGCAGAATAGGCAACTTTCGAAGCGTCAGAGAATATATGGAATTCTGTTAATTTTGAAGTTTCCATTACAAATCTTGGCAGCTCTATTATATTTGTTGGCCATTCTTTGATCAAAGAAAAAATTTTTTTGCTCGTCCTGTTTGTTTAAAGATTGGTCCCAAGGAATATTTTCCTTCCATAAATGTTGTATGAATAATTTAAGTTTGATCATTATAGGAACGAGAAAAACCCAATGGATTATATTGAGAGGCTATGAATTGTAAGATAATCCTCTTTGTTAAACTTTTTCCTATCCATGGTTTCAGTGTCACGGATAATATCTCGTTCATGGTTCCATTTAAGACCAAGAAAATTTTCCTGGTTTGTTTGGCTTAGGTCGCATTCAGCTATTCTTTTGTTAAATTCTTCGTCATTTGAAAGAAATTCTTTTATGTTCATCGATGCTTCACCAAAAATTTCTTCCGTTCTTTCATATTTATATAAGGCCTCTTCTGTTCCATTAGCTGATATAATAACGTTTTCTACGTATAAGTTCTTTCTTATCTCCCATGCCAATTCACTACCATGATTTTCTGAATGTAGTTGATCCATAAGTATTTGATGATATGAATGGAGATTTGAATTATGTTGTAGGCGGTTGATCAAATTCTTCAATCGTCCCAGACATAATCCATAATTATTGCTTAATTTTTGTTTGGAGTCTTTCCAAGGCCAACAAACCTGATATCTTCCACCCTGCTTGATGATGGTCCGTTTGAAATGCTTTAAAGCTTGATCATCATCATCATCTCGAGGTGATTCTTGGATACCAATCGTCTCTAATTTCCAAAATTTTTCTAGCTCAGTGTTAATATTGACGTTTGTAGAATATACTATTTCTTTAGGATATAATTCGTTCTTGCAAAGTTTCTTAATATCTCCACTTCCAGCAATCATTGGACCAACTTTTGATTGAACCAACATGTGCCCTGATTTCAATTTCCTGATTTCTCGTAGACTAATAAATTTGAAAAAATAGTCAGCTCCAATCAATACGTCAGGTTTTTTCCAATAATTTGTTAAATTTTGAATTTGAAATTCATTTGATGTCTCCACTACCTGCAATTCGTTTGTTAGGTAATCAATTATATTTGCTTGTAGTTGTATGATTTCGCTTTCGGTAGTTAGCACATTTAGTTGTATGCGAGCAGTGGGACATGATTTCGGTTCTTTCATACCAAATGGAGCTATTCTCATAATTTGAGTTTCTGTTTCGGTTAACTTTAATTGACGTAATAATTTTTTGGAGATGAAGGAGAGTTGTGATCCAATATCAAATAAGGCAAGGGCATTTTGTTGTAGTTGAGGTTGTGATGGATTAAAAACCTTTATCTCCTTACATAAAAGTAAAGTTTCCTTTGTCTGTTTGGATCGAGTTGTTAATGTGGAGTTGTAGAGAGAAGTTGAACAGTCCTTTCGTTTCGAAGGTCCAATTCTTTCATGCTCTTCATTTCTTTGAGACATTGTATTGTTTAAAGAAAGTGAATTCCTTTTATTACATAAAGCACTATTATGTAAGCTTTTGCAATAAAAACATTGTTTTTTGACATTACAATTCTGTCCTTTGTGACTGTCTCTAAGACAAATAGTACATTTCTTCAATACTTTGAGACGACTAAGTCGAGCATTGAGAGTCGTGTAGTTCACGCAATCGCTGTCCCAATGATCTTGATTGCAGAATACACATGGTCGTCTTTTTGTTGTTGTAGTTTTTGAAGTATTTTGATTATCCTTTATTGTCGACAGTGCTGAAGTTCCTCCGGGATTGTATCGTTGTTTTTGTTCCTGTTTGGTAGTTGTAGATTTAATATTGAGTTGAGTGAGTGAATGTTGACAGTTTTTAATCTGTTCATTCACATTAACTAAACTTGTTAAAAAGTTTCTTAGTTTGAGAATTGACCAAGGCATGTCCTTCTTCTTATGTTTATATATTTTATTTAATATCCATAATGGCAACTTGCTCTCGATCAAGATTTCAATATTTGAATGCTCAAGGCTTTCTCCTAGAGCTTCTAACTGGCGCAGTACTCGTTCTATATTTTCAATTGTTCCAATCCATTCTCTTTCATTTCGTTTAATTGATTGGAGTTCGTTGTATAGTAATGTTGTTACTATTGAGTGATCGCCATATTTTTCATTGAGCAGTTTTCTGATGACTTCATAATTCTCTGGAGCTATATCATATCCAGATATTGCTTGTAGAGCTTTTCCTTTGAGACATGAGTACAAGTAATTCAGTTTTTGTATTTCTGGAATTGCTTGCTTGTGGACTGCTGCGTTAAAACTGCTCCAAAATTGTTGCCATTGTCTAGGGTCTCCTTCGAAAGTAGGGAGCGATAAATGAGGAAGATTTACATTAACATTTGAAGAAGGAGTAAATTTTACCTTTTCTTTTGCTTATTTGTTTGTCAACTCCTTTGAGAGTTGTTTTAGGTTTTGGTCGACTTCATCCATGTGCATTGTTAGTGTTATTACCGCTTCCTTTCCTTCGTGCAATAATTGAAATATTCCTTGGTCACTTTTTGTTACTGCTTTGTATTTTTCCTCCTCTTCTTCTCTTCTTTTCATTGTGACGATTTGTTGAGCATATGTGAACCATTTATCATTAATAGATTCAAGCGTACGCATAATTGGATTCTTCAAAGTTTATCTTCGAAGATAAAAATCTTCTTTTTCTTCTATTGTCATACTTGGTTCTGGAGATTTGATCTCCAGTTGATTTATTTCTTTAAGAAGATTGACCAACCTTTCCTTTGCCAGTTCAAAGCTCGCAATAATGCTGCTAGACATTTCCCCGGCTCGTGGCACCAATAAATATTTGTCGTGAAAGGTTTGCCTGGTTGATATTCGAATAGTTGCAATACAGTAGGAAGATTAATAAACCTTTATTTTCCGAAAACGTATTATTAATAAACTGAGCAATAAAAAAAGAGAATTTATAACAAAAAAGAAGACTGGAGAAATTGCGATTGGTTAACAGAATCGTAGTCGACAATAATGACAATGAATCGTTTTGTTTATTAGAATTGAATTTATATGAGTGAGGATTGGGCGTGTCTAAGATAAAATCACATTTGTGAAGAATTTAAAGTGTTTACAAAGAAGATATTAAAATGAAAGCTAATTTCTAATTTGCATAAAATTTCATGTGTGAAGAATTAGAGGTGTTTACAAAAAGGAGATTAAAATGACATGTATGAAGACCGTAAGATTGTTTACAATTTAAAAAAGAGAGATGATTTATGATATTATGAAATTGGCTAGAAGTTTTCGCGAAATTATAATTCGCGACAATTCAGGAAGCGCATAAAACTCTTCCTTTAGTGTCATTCTAAACAATCTGTGGTGACAGATGTTGAAAAAAGCAATAGATTAGGTTCAGTTGGAGATAAAATATGAGGAATTCTCCTGGAGAGAAATCTGTTGAAAATAATTTAAGGAAAATTGCAGCAATGAATGAATGTAGGATAGCCAAATTGAAACAACCCTTTCCATGTAATATGCAAATTTTCGTATTTCACTTTTAGTTCTCTTTAGGATAATACCAAAAAAATGCATTTGATTCTTCTGCTTCTGTCATTTTTACACATTTAATATGGTTGCTATTAAAGTAAGCAATATTGCAGAATTGATTAAGCACTTGCTCAGTAGTAGTGACAAACGTTTCTCTATTGCAATTATTGCCAGAAAGTAAATCAATGCATAAAATTGTCTTAAAAAGTCGATTTATGCAAATTCAACAATTAAAAACAGCTTACAAATAAAAAATTGATTAAAATAGCGTAGACAAAATAATGCGTTGATGTGGACATGACGTACAAAGTCCATATTTCTTTTGAATAATCTGGCATAAGTTGATGCTGAAGCATTTAGAGTTCAACCGCATGTCTGGAGGATGAATGATGATCTTAGATTCAAAAAATGGACTTCAAAATTTACAATTTATTTTGGCTTGACTGGAAAGTGAAATAGAGCTATTGAACAGATCCATTACTTTATCCTTCTTAACTCTTTCTTTCGAGGTGATTACTTTTTAATCCAACATTATCCTCAAATTACCTTAAAAAAGCAAATTCACACATCAATTGTCGATTCTATCTATTCACAATACTGTATAGGAATGCTTTATATTAGTTACTGGACTATGAAATATAATTACTAAATGCACCTTTTCCTGCCTTATTTGCATTGAGCTTAAAGAATTTTCTTCGTAATAATAAACGATAAATAAATTAAAGTTCAACAACAAAGAATTGCAATTCTATAACATTTTCCCACCTGCTAACTTATCATTTTCCTACTTCAAGCAGTAATTGTTCAATATAGCTAAATGCACAGAGACCGTTCAATCAGCATCCAATAACATTTGTAGAAAGAACTTAAAACTGCGTTCTACATATTTGGGACGTATATCACATTCAACCTAATATGGTAACAGTCCAGAACAAATCCGTAATATAATAAACAAGTATGCAGTTTTTGTTTTATTAGTTAATAATATAATAGACTGATCAGTAAATTTATAGTATAACTAAAATTATGTGCTGACAAAATAATGTGAAAAAATTTAAAAGCCTTGTTGAAATTTTTTTGAAATGACTCAATTTTGTTGTTGCTGTGTCTTAGAAGGCAATGTTGCTTTACCAGAATATCAATACTTCCAGAAACTATGACAGAAATTTGAAGCTGACTCTATCAGTTCTAAGGAAGAGAATCGAAATTGGAACAACCATTAGCCAATAGTAATGCTTTGGTACCATATTTCAGTGTGTTAGCATGATAGGTTAATAAGTATATGGTAAATAATTTCACGATGATATGATATGTTCAAATGTTTGCAGCTCATATTAAACTAGTACTCCTTTCCATGTCGAGAAATTGTAAGTGCTATTAAGAACCTTTGAACTTTCCTTGGTTGTGACTTGCAGTTGAGAATAAAAGTTGTTATAATAACTTTGTAGTTTGCGATCCTCAAACACTTGGACAATGGGTTGAAATTCTTATATACTGGACATTGGCGGCTTGCAATAAGCGCATGATTACAGTGAGTAGAGCTGTATTTCAGGTGATCTTTACTCTTTGCACAGTAACAGTTAAACTTTCATTTAAAACGAAGGAACACTTTTCAACATATTAAGCAATGCATATACTTTGTTAACAACTGTAGCATTGCAAACAATGCACATATATGTGGAATATTTATGGTTTTATATTTTTAAAATTTGTAAAGGATATTCAATTAAGGCAATCTTAGTGGTACGGATTAATCAATTTTGTTGAGACATATTCGGTTTTTCTAATACTCCAAACATCACAGTTTTTCCCACTCTGTCGCTGAAATTACCAAGAAAGAAATTATATTTTATTATTTGCAGAAAGTTTTTGGGATGAAATCTCGTTTGATCGATATGTAGAATATCCGCTGCGTCAGCATGCAAAGTTTGGTGTACATAGCATGCAAAGTTTGGTGTGTATACTTGGTGTACATGAAGAGAATAAGTTTTTTTTTTTTTTTTTTTTGCTTTATTGCTTTCTGTATAATAATGAAATTATAGGAGGAGATGTTATAGAAAAAGTAATAAACTGTTGGCAAATTAACTAATTTCAAGAGAACTGAGTTTTAAAATCATAGAACCAATTCCTGAAACAAACTTAAACGATGACAACGAAGCCTTCAGAACGTAGATTTAATTAAAGTATCCCTGAGATGGATAGTCTTAGAAAACTATATCACCATCTATCCGGATTCAAGTTTAGAATAGCATTCTCTCCGGATCATTGCGGACAGGCTAACAATCCAGTTGACTGACATGCTTTGTCTGATCTTTTCACTGAGATTTGTTTGGCATGGGAACCAACTATACCGACAACAAATGCCATTACCAGAAATGTTATATGAGCATGAAAGCTTCTCCAACACTGATATTGACGAAGAATGTATATATATATATGTAGAGAGGGAGAGAGAAAGAAAGAGAAAGAGGGAGAGAGAGAGAGAGAGGGAAAGATGAGGTAGTTGGTTTCAAAGGAAGAGTGAATAGCAAATAGCTTTCCAATTAGATTTTTCAGAATGACGGAATTCTGGTTGTAAAGATGTTGGATAGCGTTGATTTATGATCAGTATGGTTTATGACAAACACAGTTTCGGAGTGATATTTGACAGTATTACCAAATGATTTAAAAGCTAATCGTATTGATCAATATTCGGGGAATATTTTTACAAAGGACATTTGAATTACTTGAGGCGTTGAATTTCGAAATGCAAAAATTCTGATTGCTAATACAGGTGTGAAAAATTTATAAGTGTTGGTCGTTCATTTTATACTTAGTTGTTAATGAAAGCATGATAGACTATATATGGGATTTTAACTAATAATGAGATCACTAATGAATAAAACTTAATGTAGTCCAATTTTAAAATGAAAATAAGAGTTCAGAGTAGTGTAATGATCATGGTATTACAAAATAAAAGATAAATAATAATTGAAAGAATCCTTCTCTTTTCTTTTCTTTCCATTTTTAAATTGTAATAATTTTCAACTTCATTTAAGGCTCATCGGCTAATCATTCATAGATGTTTGTCAGAAGTATCGTTGTAAGGAGCTCTAAATAATGCATAAAATTATCAAATAGATATTATCTTTTGATGTTTTCATCAAAGCTAATAAAAGTTCGTCAATTATTTGCTCATTGATTGATCAGATATTTGTTTGTCATCGATAAATAAAGTTGATGCTCGTCTCGATAGAGTAGACGTGTGCTATGTTATTATTGCAAAGTTGAAGATAGTAAGCTTTATCTTTTATACTCATTAAAAATATATTTTTAATTTATCGTTTTGCCTTCATTTAGTACAAATTGGTGTGATACAAGGTGTGATACAACCTCGATAGATCACCTCACCTCTTATCGTTCAGTGCAATGACTTGCAGGAAGAGAAAATTTAATAATTTTCTAGAATGATGGTTTTGGTTATGGAGATTTTGCAAAAAAACGAATAAAGTAAATAAGGATTTGATGTAGCACAATGAAGTTCTATAGTTCAACATTTGTTTTGAAGATTATACGTAATGGAATATTGTACGTATACTGTTTACGTCTTCCTAAAATTCTGATGACATATGGAAATGTTATAATATTGTTAAATAGGTAATTTATTTATTTTATTTTAAAATATGTCTTTTATTTGAAATATTGATGTTGATTAATTGTTTTTCACTGCTAATCGTAATTAATATTAAGTTTATTATGCATTTTTGCTAATGTAGCACAGCAGACGGACAAATATTACAAAGAGTTATTTCACATGTAGAATAAGGCATGCTGAAGGCTTCTTTTTTTACAAAATTTGTAATACAGTTTTTGATTTTATGTTTTCTCCGCAAATGATTTCTTCCATAGTCCTTTTGATTCAAGATTTAAGTAAGCTTTAAATGAATATAATTGATCTAATTTTATTTTAAGTTGTAGTTCAGAATACATCGAAAAAGGAAGAAGTTTGTTTTTTCACTCATTAATGAATTCTTGCGTTATACTATCCCTCTGAAGTTGTTTGTCTTTTGTATACTCTTTTGCTGGAGAAAAAAGTTAAAAGAAGCACTGGAAGGATTCACAGAGAAATAATTATTGATTTAGCAGGACTGTGAGACAGTTAATGATACTTTGTTATCGATTTAGCAGGACTGAGACAGTTAATGATACTTTCCTTTATCTGAAGCATAGATATGCAGATGAAGTAGTAAGTAGTAAAATGTTTATCGATCAAAATGTTCCTAAAATAAATTTTATCC